CTCACCTGCCGCAGTTTGGAAGGTGTTCTTGGATTATTGGCTTACTGTGAGGAAACACCGTAGGGGGAAGTCTCACCTGCCGCAGTTTGGAAGGTGTTCTTAGATTATTGGCTTACTGTGCGGAAACACCGTAGGGGGAAGTCTCACCTGCCGCAGTTTAGGAGGTGTTCTTGGATTACTGGCTTACAATGCGGAAATACCGTAGGGGGAAGTCTCACCTGCCGCAGTTTGGAAGGTGTTCTTGGATTATTGGCTTACTGTGAGGAAACACCGTAGGGGGAAGTCTCACCTGCCGCAGTTTGGAAGGTGTTCTTGGATTATTGGCTTACTGTGAGGAAACACCGTAGGGGGAAGTCTCACCTGCCGCAGTTTAGGAGGTGTTCTTGGATTACTGGCTTACTGTGCGGAAATACCGTAGGGGGAAGTCTCACCTGCCGCAGTTTGGAAGGTGTTCTTGGATTACTGGCTTACTGTGCGGAAATACCGTAGGGGGAAGTCTCACCTGCCGCAGTTTGGAAGGTGTTCTTAGATTATTGGCTTACTGTGCGGAAACACCGTAGGGGGAAGTCTCACCTGCCGCAGTTTAGGAGGTGTTCTTGGATTACTGGCTTACTGTGCGGAAATACCGTAGGGGGAAGTCTCACCTGCCGCAGTTTGGAAGGTGTTCTTGGATTACTGGCTTACTGTGCGGAAACACCGTAGGGGGAAGTCTCACCTGCCGCAGTTTGGAAGGTGTTCTTGGATTATTGGCTTACTGTGAGGAAACACCGTAGGGGGAAGTCTCACCTGCCGCAGTTTGGAAGGTGTTCTTAGATTATTGGCTTACTGTGCGGAAACACCGTAGGGGGAAGTCTCACCTGCCGCAGTTTAGGAGGTGTTCTTGGATTACTGGCTTACTGTGCGGAAATACCGTAGGGGGAAGTCTCACCTGCCGCAGTTTGGAAGGTGTTCTTGGATTATTGGCTTACTGTGAGGAAACACCGTAGGGGGAAGTCTCACCTGCCGCAGTTTGGAAGGTGTTCTTGGATTACTGGCTTACTGTGCGGAAACACCGTAGGGGGAAGTCTCACCTGCCGCAGTTTGGAAGGTGTTCTTGAATTTCTTGGCTTAAGGCCTGAGAGCGCTAACAAAGCGTGAGAGCGCTAACAGAGCACTAACAAAGCGCTTTTGAAGCGCTAACAGAGCGCTAACAGAGCGCTGCTGAAGCGCTAACCGAGCGCTACATCACGCGCTAGGAAGCGCCACATGACCGCTCCTTCGAGCGGTCACGTAGCGCTAACTTAGCGCTCCGCTGTATGTGGGAACCGGCCTTTACTCTGCCGAAACACCGTAGGGGGAAGTCTCACCTGCCGCAGTTTGGGAGGTTTTCTTCGATTACTTGGCTTACTGTGAGGAAACACCGTAGGGGGAAGTCTCACCTGCCGCAGTTTGGAAGGTGTTCTTGGATTATTGGCTTACTGTGAGGAAACACCGTAGGGGGAAGTCTCACCTGCCGCAGTTTGGAAGGTGTTCTTGGATTATTGGCTTACTGTGAGGAAACACCGTAGGGGGAAGTCTCACCTGCCGCAGTTTGGAAGGTGTTCTTAGATTATTGGCTTACTGTGCGGAAACACCGTAGGGGGAAGTCTCACCTGCCGCACTTTAGGAGGTGTTCTTGGATTACTGGCTTACTGTGCGGAAATACCGTAGGGGGAAGTCTCACCTGCCGCAGTTTGGAAGGTGTTCTTGGATTATTGGCTTACTGTGAGGAAACACCGTAGGGGGAAGTCTCACCTGCCGCAGTTTGGAAGGTGTTCTTGGATTACTGGCTTACTGTGCGGAAACACCGTAGGGGGAAGTCTCACCTGCCGCAGTTTGGAAGGTGTTCTTGAATTTCTTGGCTTAAGGCCTGAGAGCGCTAACAAAGCGTGAGAGCGCTAACAGAGCACTAACAAAGCGCTTTTGAAGCGCTAACAGAGCGCTAACAGAGCGCTGCTGAAGCGCTAACCGAGCGCTACATCACGCGCTAGGAAGCGCCACATGACCGCTCCTTCGAGCGGTCACGTAGCGCTAACTTAGCGCTCCGCTGTATGTGGGAACCGGCCTTTACTCTGCCGAAACACCGTAGGGGGAAGTCTCACCTGCCGCAGTTTGGGAGGTTTTCTTCGATTACTTGGCTTACTGTGCGGAAACACAGTAGGGGGAAGTCTCACCTGCCGCAGTTTGGAAGGTGTTCTTGGATTACTGGCTTACTGTGCGGAAACACCGTAGGGGGAAGTCTCACCTGCCGCAGTTTGGAAGGTGTTCTTGGATTTCTTGGCTTAAGGCCTGAGAGCGCTAACAAAGCGTGAGAGCGCTAACGAAGCGCTTCTGAAGCGCTAACAGAGTACTATCAAAGCGCTTGTGAAGCGCTAACAGAGCGCTAACAGACCGCTGCTGAAGCGCTATCCGAGCGCTACATCACGCGCTAGGAAGGGCCACATGACCGCTCCTTCGAGCGCTCACGTAGCTCTAACTTAGCGCTCCGCTGTATGTGGGAACCGGCCTTTACTCTGCCAAACACCGTAGGGGGAAGTCTCACCTGCCGCAGTTTGGGAGGTGCTCTTGGATTACTCGGCTTACTGTGCGCGGAAACACCGTACGGATCTCGTTTCGTCTGAGCGTTTCGGGGTCACGAGAACTGCTGAGTGTTCTTGGGAGATGGTCCTGACAGTTAATTACTGCGCTTGTTAACTAACAACAGACACACATATAGAAAAAACAACAACAACAAAAAAACGTTAGAATTAGCTCGCAGAGCCGGAAACCACAAGTCGGCTCCCATTTCACGCTTCTGTTCTGGCCTGCCAGAACTTCGGTGTGGCCGCTATGGGGGGGGGGGGGGGGGGGGGGGCGTACAGTAATACTCTTAGCTCCTGTATGTTTACCCTGTGCTTCTGCGGGTGCGCGGCGACTCTTGTTTCACTAGCCAGCGTTTCTGCGATAGCTACTCTCTAGAAATGCCCCAGCCAATGCCGTGTTCTCAAGTTGCCGATACGTACCGGCACGAAATAAAAATGTCACGAGTCAAGTTATTTTGATTATCTCGAGTGGAGCGACGCCACCGACGCCGCAGAGCCTGCATGATTGCAAGACGACGGCATTGGCCGACGGTGCTAGCCTACTTCAATGTGATGCCGACAGGTGGCGCAATGCGACAAACGGGAGAATGCGACGCCAACACCACGGTGCCTCGACCGACCATGTCCCTACAACGATGGGCCATTCGGCACGCACAAATGCAAAAAATGCAAAAAAAAAAAACTTTCGTAAGTTTGTTTGCAAAAACCAAGACCTGGCTCGTCTACCTCTGCGCGGAAGCTTTACGCCGGTGGGATGTACTTGATCACCGCCGATGTCTTTCCGTTCACGAGGATGTTGAACTCGTTTAGGGATTTGTAGGTTTTAAGTCCTTCCCAGGTATATTGACCAGGCTGGTTGAATTGGTAGTACAGAAGATGTGTCCGCAATACCTTCGGTAGATTTGTATTTTCTGGAGGCACCGCAGTTATCGCTCGACGATGAGACTATTAAAGTTCTCGCTACTCAGTGTAGGTCCTCAAAAACAAGCAAAAGCAATATCCAACCGGAAGTAACATACTCCCCCCGGAAGTTCGGCCATTCTTTGTTTTTGGTTACCTCCGTACACCCTGTATAAAAGGCTTTGTACGAAAGTCAGGTCTATGGGGGCATATGGTTATTTTCAGTGGGTTACATTTTACTGCCAAATATATGGCCCCTAGAAAAGCGTATCACGTACAGCGTTCTCAAATGTGGTCCCTCGATTTCCTCCGGACTACGCCCCACAAGTTTCATGCTCTAAAGCCCCTCTATCCTGGGAAAAGTGGCGCCGTTCATTGTTGGCGAAATGCTTGAGGCACGTGCCGCGCGCCACTTCTGGGAAGGACATGGCGTCTGAAATCTAGCTCAGTGCTGCGCTGTGCCGCCATGAACTTCCCAAGGGCTGCACGTTGCATGTGGCTCGTGCATCAACGCACCTTGCGCTACTTTTAAAACATGAAGGGGCCTTATCATGCTGTAAATCCCCTTCATGTTTTAAAAGTAGCGCAAGGTGCGTCGGTGCACGAAGCAGGTGCAACGTGCAGCCCTTGGGAAGTTCATGGCGGCACAGCGCAGCACTGAGCTAGATTTCAAACGCCATGATTTTCCCAGAAGTGGCACGCGGAACGTGTCCCGAGCATTTCGACAACAATAAATGGCACCACTTTTCCCAGGACAGAAGGGCTTTATCATGCCGTTGTTTGCCGCGATCCTGGCGGTGGAACAGCGGCGGAGGTGGATGCGGCAGACGCCTGCTCTTCGCAGCGATAACACACCCTTTCCGAAAGTCAGTCTAACCACCCTGTGCAGGGCCCAGCCCGGCACTCTAATGGCGGCACTAAACGGCTTCTCCAGTCCACACCAGAAAGAGCGAACGTCTTCGAAACCATGGAGCATAAAGGGGAAAAAATGTGGGTCCTTTTACGTCACATTTGATTCACGAAATCGAGCGGTCTTGATTTAACAGAGTATGATCTCTTATTACCGCCATTAGAGCGCAGATATTGGAGCTTTTGGGACTGCACAAGGTTACTCTGACTTTTGAAAAGGGCCTATTGCGTTCTCATCTACTCTCTGGCAGAACTAATATGAAGAACAATGAATGCAATATCCAACGGCATGACACGGCGGCTCTTGGACCGCAATTTGTTGTCACTTCCGGACCATTTGCGATGCTTGGGCGCAATGGGACGATAAACACACCTGTCGAAGGCACGTTCGAGGCACCGTAAGAATACTCTCCAAGAGGCGGCAAACGGGGGATGTCGTAAGAAGAAAAACTAAGAGCCATGTTCTTACTGACTAGGCTCAAACACATTAGAGAGCCGTTTCATATTTATTTTATTTATTTATTTCTGCTCACAAACCTTCAGGCAACCTATAGGCACCGGATAGTCTCACTTGGAAGAACCGCGCGGAGCTTATTTCTTGGATTTCCCCATACCTTCCAGCGCCAACTTCCATTGTACTAGTTTTTCTAGGACTTCCGGCGTGCATGACTGTAGAAAAAAATTAATCATTCGCAACGTTGTTTGATAATATTAGAAACGACTAAACGAATGACTTTATATATTTTTTTTCCAGAATATTCCTCGGCTTTATTGGCGCTTTAGTTGTTTTTTAAATTAATACGCGCACGACAGAAACTTAAACATATAGTTTGCCAATAAGTGCGTTTTTTAACGAGATATAGGTTCTTCATTCAGATAAAAATTTTACTCATTGATCAAGATTGGAGTAAAAAGATTCGCAATTTCTCTCAACGCACTTTCGAAATGATAATAGTTTAACTTACCCAATGCTATATTAGCACCAGTAATAAAAAAATATTACTATATCACTCTATAGTTACTAAAGCTATACTGATGCTACTAATAGGACTGATATGTTACAAGTTTTGCTATAATGATAATGCTTGAAAAAACAAACCCTGCGGAACACCTCTCGACTCGTGTTTGGAGCTTTGCACGACACGGAAAAAGTAGAACCTATTCTGCGTGTTAAAAAAAAAATTCAAACATTTCACAAATATTTTTGAACCCAGAAACAGACAGCATACACGATCCAGCTCCCTTAAAACAAGAACAAAAAGAGTAACTCCTAAACATATCGTCTAACGAATGTAAAACAAGGGAAAGACAAAACAGAGACAACTCGACTGCTTTACAGTTTTGTCCGTACTCAGTATACAAGTTCACTTTCGTCTTTTTTTATGTGGTCACTGGCGAGATCACGAGAGGAAACATTAATGGTTGTTAACCTCGAGATTCAAAGAAGCGATAATGAAGCATTAACGTATAGGGTTTGCCTGGCACGTACACGGCACGCCGAGAAAAAACAAGGTTCATTGACTGCGCCTTCGTTTGTAATCGGTCCACGAATCACTCTGAAGCGAAGAGGAACCATTTCTAAACGCAGTGAAATCACACGTCACTAGAAGTAGTTGATGTATTCCTGAAGTGCAGTTTGCGCTGGCTGGTGCCCACCTTCGTCGTGCCAGAATGGGTTTAATAATTCATTTAGCGTATAGGTTTTTCCCGTCCTCTTTACACATTTAGGCATGTATTGATCATTACTGGTAAACGCCGAGACGAAAGCAATGTGTTGTGAATGAGTTGGCACATGGTGTGCCAGTGAGACGTCACGTGACGACATTACGTCACATGAAGCTGTGACGTCACAGAGTCAGTAACCTCACAAAGTCACGGGGCATCAGGGTATCTCGTCACGTCAAAGACTCAAGCGAGGAAGTTATAGTGGGCAGGAGGTGGCGTCTGTATTCTCCATAAATGGAGCGAAGCGTGGCGGAAGTAGGCGTGGCCACAAAATGCTCCCTCAGTCTCTCGGCCAATAGGAAACTCAGTTAATGGGCGTCGCCATGTAAATATGCGAAAACAACTGCGTTTACATTGAATTGCCATCGAAACGGGGTTGCTTGCCCCATATTTACGAGGCAGAGTGCACTGAATAGGTTTCGAACAGTTGAGATACGGAGCTAGCAGCGTCGGTGCGCCAGGGAGTCTGGGATTGAGTTTTTTTTCTCCGGCGTTGTTGAGCATGACGTCATTCCGTGTCTTGGGGTATTTAAATGTCCTTCGAGTCAAGTAATTTTGTCACGTGATATCATGATTCCACGTGAATTCTTTACGTCAAGGGCATAAGCAATATGCCTCTACCGGACTATAGTGCTCATATGACTTCGATCAAGAACAACGGGTGAGCGTGAAGTGTCGCCCTTCTCGTGGCATCCAGCCCAATAGTAGTAGTAGTAGATTGAGGTTTTATAGCGCAAAAGCAACTTAGGCTATGATGCGCCAAGAGATGAAACTATTGCATAGGAGGATTTAGGAGAAGAAAGAACTTTAGTAGCTAGTGCTTTATTAATTTATGAACATGAAAAATGTATAACATATGCCTTACATTATGAATAAAATTACAATTTGCGTAAAAGATCAATACTTTCTAAAAACTTAAAACCTGGGTGGGTGGGAGCAGTGGCTCATTTCCCAGTAACGCACATAGGTGTAAAGGGACACGCTCTTTGTACAACTGGGAAAAGTAGTGGAGGCGTTTTTTATCATAAGTAAAACATTCGAGAAGCATATGTAAGACACTTAATGGTTCCTGGCAATCTTCACATTTAGGAGGGCCCTCCCCACGTAAGAGGTGTCCATGCGTGAGCCGCGTGTGTCCGATGCGTAGTCGACAAAGGACTACCTCATAAAACCTGTCTCTGTGCCTAGCACTCTGCCACTCACTAAGAAAGGGTATATCATATACAGTTTCTTTGACACCTGTAGGCTCCATTCTGCCTGCCACTGAGCTTTAACATGATATTTGATTAGGGCAGAGTAATCTCTATAGGGTATACTACTAATGTCTACAGCACGGTTGCCAGAAGTGCCCGCAGCACGATCTACCTCTTCATTCCCTGGGATTCCCACATGGCTCGGTACCCAGCAGAATAGAACACTACATCCTTTCCTGGTGGCTGCTACTATTTTGTTTTGTAATAAAACAACGAGGGCATTCTTTGGTGTTTCAAGTGACGTTAGAACCCGTAAAGCACTCAGCGAATCTGTATAAATAACTGACCGGGAGTTACTTGTTTGAATGATATGATCTACTGCAAGCAGAATGCCATGCAGTTCAGCAGTGAAAACAGTAGTGGACGAATTCAACCTACGGACACTTCTTACTGAAGGACCAATCATGGCTGTTCTAACAAATGATTTAGTTTTTGTCCCGTCTGTGTAGTAGTGGGAATGAGAATCACGTTCCTTGTGGAGTTCGTAAAATTCTTGTCGCATGACCTCAGTTGGGGTTTCCTTCTTATTAAACTTCGTTAGTGAAAAATCACACCGTACGCAGTTAAAATTCCATGGCGCCACCGACCTTCCAACTGTAGCAACTGGGAGCTTACTGTGTATCCCAACTGACTCTGCCAAATTCCGGCTTCTCATCGCAAATGGAGGGATAATGCTAGGCTTGTTTTCAAATGTCTTCTGGTATTTAGTGCTCTCCGCAGCCTCCCGGGCTGGATGCTGAGCGACTGAACGTATCCTTAACGAATACATAAATCCCAGGGAGAATCGCCGTCTGTCAAGAGACATCTCATTTCCCTCAGCATAGAGACTGAGCACAGGCGACGTTCTGAAGGCTCCAATTGCTGAACGAAGTCCTGATGATGGATGGGGTCCAGTGCCTTAAGAGCTGATTGCCTAGCAGATCCGTATACAAAGCTACCGTAGTCCAGACGTGAGCGAATCACAGAGCGATAAATTTGTAAAAGACATAGACGATCAGAGCCCCATGTCTTGTGGAACAGAACTTTAAGGAGGTTCAGTGATTTCTGACATTTTATCGTCAAACGTTTTATGCGAGATATGAAGGACACTTGACAGTCGAAAATAAGGCCCAGAAACTTATGCTTTTTCTTTACTGAGATGGGAGTCTGGTGCATTCGTAAAGTAGGCTCTACAGAAATTCCCCTTCTCCGAGAGTAGCAGTCACACACTGTCTTATCAGGAGAAAACAAAAACCCATTTTCGTCTGCCCATTTCAAGAGGTTGTTGATTGCAACTTGGAGTCGACGTTCACAAAGGAAAGATTGCATGATGAAACGGATATCTGGAGATCGTCTACATAAAGAGAATATTGCACAGACGGATGTATAGACCGGACTATTGATTTCATCTTGACTATAAAGAGAGTAACACTCAAGACGCCGCCTTGCGGAACTCCAGTCTCCTGAACAAATTCTCTAGAGAGAGCAGTGCTCAACTTTACAAAACAGATTCGCTCAGATATATAGCAAGCAACCTCCAACGTAACCCTACTTCATACAAGTCACGAAGAATTCCATAGTGCCATGCTGTGTCGTATGCCTTCTCCAAAGGAAAAAAAACACTGATCAGCAGTGTTGTTTATTAACAAAAGCTTCACGAATTGTAGTTTCAAGGCGCACCAAATGGTAAACTGTGGAATGGCAGGAACGGAACCCACATTCATTCTTACCTAAGTGTTTTCTTTTTCTAAAACGTACATGAGCCTTTTATTAATGATCCGTTCAAATGTCTTGCTTAGGCAACTGGTGAGGGCAACTGGATGGTAGCTAGATGCGGAGGAAGCATCCTTTCTGGGTTTCAGAAGTGGTACGACTGTGGCTACCCTCCATGCCAGTGGGAATCTGCCCTCTTGCCAGACACGATTGAAGAGGTATAAAATAAGGAGTAGTGTAGAAGGGTGAAGATGCTAAAGCATCCAGTAGTGGATACCATGAGGTCCAGGAGCTGACGGCTTTGTTGAGCGAAGGACCATTTCGAGTTCGTGCTGCGTGAGGGTTTGATTGTAAGCCTCACGAACTGCACCTGAGGTCTTCACGGCATGCGCTTCCGCTCTCTCTTTGTATCTAAGAAATGCTGAGGAAGAGTTTTCTAAACTTGATACACGAGCGAAATGCAGACCAAGAAGATTGGCCTGACCCTCTGGGCTCTCTGGGCAGACCGCATTGAGGGAGAGAAGCGGGAGTATGAAATCATGGTATCGCCCTTCGATCCGATGAACTTTATCCCAGACTTCTTTCAGAGTTGCAGTACTATTAATTGAAGGGGCGTACCCCTGAAAATTCTTTCGCTTAGACTGGCGGCGAGTGCATCTTGCCCGAGCTTTCATATGTTTGAACGTGAGGAGATTACTCTGCGTGGGGTAACGTCGAAAAATACCCCACGCTCTGTTTTTTTTTGTTTTTTTTTCTCGATTCAGAACACTCTTCATTGCAGCACGGCTTGGGTCTCCAAGGCAGATGCGTGGAAGTCATAGGAATAGCAAGGGATGCTGAATAAAAAACAGACTCACTTAAAAGTTCTGTAACTTGGTCCACCGATATTTTATGAAATTATGTACATGCAAGCTGCGTCGCCTCGGTAAGAACAGACCAATCTGCTTTCTCAAACCTACAACGGGCAGTCCGCATCGGCACGCACTTTGGGGGAAGGTT